TCCTTTCCCAGTGGGCTTGGCTCCTCTCACCAGGCTGAGAAACCGTCTTTTCCCAGGAAATGCCGCCTGCAGGCCGAAATGGAAGCTCGGAAGAACTGGGCCCAGAACTGGGGCTTCTTAACCACCCCCTTTGAGGAGGTAACTGCACGTTGGATGAGCTGGCTTGTGACCCAAGCGTGGGGGAGAAGAAAGACCCCGTCCTGAAGGGGTTCATTTGAGAGACGGAGATATTTCCCATCTGCCCGCAGTCCACTGTGATTCCCAGGGACCCAAGTGTCCCGTGTGTCGAGCAGCACTGCACTCCGGAAGGTTCCGCGTGGCGGATTTGTTTAGGAACAGGTCCCCAGACAGACCTGTCTTCAGAGGTGCCTCAGGGTGGACCCGAAGCCCAGGCCTTAGCATCGGAGCACATCCCCCATTGGCACTAACCAGAGGCTCCCGAGAAGATGTTGTTTGTAGGTGAGATGTCTCAACTTTAGGCAGCCAGCTTCTCCCCTCCCCTCCCCACCCTCTCCCGACCCTGACCTCTGGACTTACTCAGTTCTCAGACCAGCCAAGAAGGCACTAAACCAGTTGTTCTCAATCTTCCTAATGCCGCAACTCGTTAATGCAGGTCCTCATGTGGTGGTGACCCCCAACCATAACATTATTTTCATTGCTACTTCATCACTGTCATTTTGCTACTGTGATGAATCCGGTGACCCCTGCACTAAGTGCTTCCTCTAGACCAGCTCACTGAAGCCGCACAGTGTGCAGGTGGACTCTGCTTGATGCCCATTTTGCTGGGGTGGGTCAGGGCCATCACATCCAGCAGCCGTGCAGCAGAGGGAAACACCCGCAGCTCCTGCGCCATCCTCACAACTGTTCTTGTGTGGGGGCCATCGCTGCAGCCGTGGGTGCCGTTCGTCTGGTCCACGGCCGCCACCTTTTTCCCATTTACAAAGCATGAGCTCAGGTGGTGAAGTAGCTGACATATTGGGCTGCTCACCACAAGGTCAGCAGTTCAAAACCACCAGCTGCTCCCCGGGAGCAAGTTCCAGTCGAGGAAGTATACCCAGAGTAGTTCTACCCTACCCTACAGGGAGACTGCGGGTGGGAATCCACTCGATGGGAGTGGGTGTGTTGAGTTTGCCAGATGTCTTTTCCAGGGGCCGTCTCTCTGGATACCACGTCCAAAGCACATGCGATCACGTGTCAGCGCTTGCTTCTCAGGAGCACTCGGCTGCACTTCTTCTGAGACAGATGCGATGTTGTCCTGGGGGCCATGGTGCTGCCCATGCCCCCGGCCAGCACTGTAATCCAGAAGCACCCATTCTCCTCATTCATTGTTCACCCTTCACCGGCATCGGAGGTGATGGAAAGGACACCCTTGCTCTTCCACACTTTCAAGAGGTCTCGTGGGACAGATGTGCCCAGTGCAGCGGGTCCTGGCAGCTCTTGACAGCTGCCTCCCGAGCATTGATTGCGGATCAGGGGACATGAGATCTGGGACACCTGCAGTCTCTTCTCCACTTGTCCTGATGCTACCCCCGCCCCCCGCCCCCGGGTGAGGGTTCTGGTCTTCTGGACACTGCGTTGCGATCTGCAGTGAAGGCGGCAGTCCTTGATCTTCAGCATCTTCATCCTTGCTTTCAACAAGCAAGGTCGTGTCCTCTGCGTATCGCAGGTTGTTAGCAAGCCTTCCTCTGACCCCGCTGCCACATTCTGCTTCGTACAATCCAGCGTCGTCTCCGTTGATTTGCTCCGTATGCGGATCGAAATAAGCATGATGAGCGAATGCAACCCTGATGCACACCTCTCCTGATTTTAAACCATACAGTGTTGTACAGGTTGGGAAATGGAGCTCGGAGAAATGCAGGGGTCCACAGCATATGTATAAAGCGAGGTCCGGCACAAAGAAGTGGTCAATCTGATTTTGCCACACGTGCCTCCGGTTCCCCACCCGTACAACGGGACCACTGTCCTCTCTCGTCTTGTCGGTGGGATGGGTGGTGCTGAGAAGCCTAGTCCGGCAATCGCTGGTGACAGACGTACCAAGAGTCTCGAGTCCGTTAGTACATGGGGACCAGACGGGTGACAGAAACAGGAGAAGGGGCCTGGCACGGTCAATAAAGAGTGATGGGGACACTGACGAAGAGTCCACTGGTCTCACCCCAGGCCACTGGCAAAGCTGTGTCCTGTTGATTGCTCAGAATTCAGAAACCTGGATGTTGGCGTGAAAGTTCTGTGTGTGTTATTCGAGATACACAGAGCGAGACTGCATACAGAAATGCACTCCCTCATGGTGTAGGGTGCGCCCACAGCAGGCCAAGCTCACTGCCACCCAACTGATTCTGACTCACCTTGACCCTACAGGACAGAGTTCAACTGCCCCGGGGGCTTTCCCAGACTGCCTGCCTTTACAGGACCAGGGAATGTCATCATTCTCCCTGTGAGCACCTGGTGGATTTGAACCACCAACCCTGTATTTAGCAGAAAACCCACTGGGCTTTTAACCCAGTGGGTGCCAGCATGGAGACACGAACTCCTTTGGTCTGTCTCTTCCTACCTTCTGTCCCTTGGTTTCTTGGCGATATTCAGGGGGCCTGCCCCCCTTCTTCCTGCCATCTCAGCTGGCTTCTTCTTCCAGGTAATGCTGGGTCTCAAGACAATTGGCTTGAGACCTCGCCTACGCCAGCACAGCCTCGTGAACACAAAGCAAACCTGTTCCCAGGTAGGATGGAAGCCAGGGGTGTGCTGCTCACGGAATGGAGTAGAATTTCCCATGGAGGATTTCCTCAACCTGTCTGCTAGCAGCTGAGCACTTAACCATTGCATCACCAGGACTACCTTCCCGGAGCACATTCAAGTCTTCGTACTCCATGACACCTGGCCCTGAGCCACACGCAGCCCAGAGACGCATCTGAGAGACCCATCCCCTTGGCCGCCCAAGGAGGGCCCCAAGCCCAGTTGCAGCTCGCACTGGTGGGTGGCAGTGGTGCGGGAAGAGGACAACTGTGAAGCGTCATCCGGTGGAGTTGAGAAGTGGTGTGGACTACCCCACCCCCACCCCTGTATTCCGTCCATGCAGGGGGCCTGTGAAAGCCAACCGGTCAAGAAACAGGGGACGGACTGAGATGGCGATCAGCTCCCAGCCCTGCCCGCCACTGTCATGTTCGACGGCCCCTCAAAGGTCACCTACAAGAACACGCCTAGCTGGCAGAGGGACCTGCCAGAGGGTGTGTGAGAATGTACCCACCGTGCTGGGGGGCAACAAAGTGGGCACGAAGAGCCAGGAAGTGAAAGCAACATCCGTCGTCGCTGTCCCCCCAAACAAGAACCTCAGTGCCGTGGCACTGCTGCCAAGGGAACTACAGTTTTGGACAGCCCTTCCGTCGGCGTGCCGGACTTGTAGCGCAGCCTGGCTTGCCGTAGTTGCTGCGCCTGATGCTGCCCCACTTGGGGTGGTTAGGGAGCCAGCTTGATGGGCAGCACAGGAGGAGCCTGACTTGGAAGTGGCGCGGCACACAACAGCTCTCCCGGATGAGCATGAGGCCTGTGAGAGAAGGAAACGGGAGCCCGGAGACAGAAGCCTGGTTTTATAGGTCTCTGCCCTGGCTGCCCCTGGTGCAGGGTGTCTGCCGCTCTCCTGACACAGCTCAGCGGAACCAGCTCATCTCTGCGAGCCTGAAGGGGATGAATGGGCTTCGGAGGGAGGGTGGTGGTTAAACCTTCTTCTTCTTCTTCTTCTTCTTCTTCTCTTCTGACCCACACACCCAGCTGTTTGGGAACGCATTTTTCTTTCTTGGGATTCCGGTACGAGACCACCACAGTCACATCGCAATCTTCAGCGGCGACGTGTTGTTTGTTAGCTGTCGTTCCATTCCTTTTTGTTTAGAACTGGAATTAAGTTGCATTTCAAATATCTTTTTTAAAGAAAGAAAGACGGCCCAGAAAGACAAAATGCTGACCTGGGCCTCCGTGGCCTCCGGGCTATGTGCAGGACCCAACACAAGGACCACCTCTTTCTCGGAAGGCCCAGTGCTTCAGCGGGTGCCTAGTTCACAACCATACAATGCAAAACACTCAGGATTCGAGGCGGTGCAAACCCCGTTTATACTTCACCCCACCCCACCAGCTTTGAGATGGTGGCGTTCTTAATGAGATGGTTGGCTCTTTCTTATTCTTTTCTTTTTTTTAACTTCTTAAGAAGCTGTGCAATTTGAAATTTTAGGCATAAATGAGTTCTTATTAATATAATATGCAGCGAGGAATCGAAGTTAACACTCTTTGTATGTAATTAAATAGGGTTTTCAAAGAGTTCAAAATCACTTTGCAATATAAAAAAGAGGAGGAGGTTCTCCTGGGAGGCTTGGAAAGCTGGCCCTGGAGCCCCTGCTGGTGGGGTTTCATTTGCCGCTCCCCCCGCACCTCCAGGCTGCAGCGTTTTCTCTGGGGGGCCACTGGGAGGGTAGGAGTCAGTATCAGCAGTGAGCAGCTGGGGGTCCATGGTAAAATCCCCCCTACTTCCTCCTGGGAGCCTCCGTGGTGTAAATGATGAGTGTGCTCACCTGCTACGTCCAGTGAGAAGTTCAAGCCCACCCGGAGGCACCTTGAAAGAAAGTCAGGTCCAGTGCTCTACCTTCTAAACCAGCCATTGGACAGCCAATGGGCACAGTTCTGCTTCGACACACCTGCGGTCACCTGAGTCGAGATGGGCTCAATGGCCATTGGGATGGATAGATTGGTAGATGGAGGGGTGGGCAGGTGGGTGCATGCATGGGTGGGTGACTGAATGGGTGCATGGGTGGGTGGGCAGATGGGTGGATGGATGGAGGTGGGTAGGTAAGGGTGAGTAAGTGGATGGATGGATGAGTGAATGGATGAATGGATAGAGGTGGGTGGGTGGATGGATGGATGGATGGTGG